ATATCTTCCTGTACCAGGTAATCGATGAAACATGTAATAGATTCTGATCATACGGCACTTGTTCTTATTCCGTTTCCAGGCTGATCAAAGAGGTAGCGTTAGCTTTTGGCCTACAGGCTTTTCCAAGGCCAATTCACCTCGTTCTTACGCATTCCGGAACATTTATTTGTTCGCACTTCCACTCAAGTTTATGGCAGGCCACGTATTCCAAAGCCCGGGACAGGACATTTACTGTCCTGGTGACTGGCAGTATAGGCATCAGCAGACTAGGCACGCACCACCTCGTAAGGAGCAAGTCATCCGCAGCATCGTGCATCTCATTTTGTACATTTCGAAGAAGGGTGTTAAATGGTCACTTATTCAAGGCTTTCGCGCTCGGTTAAATTGTTCCGTAAGTGACCACAGTCTGTGTGGCTTTTGAGCGTGATGCTTCGCTGCGTCAGGTTTATGTGAAAATGCTGTGAAGCATCGCGTAATTATCAAGTGTTTATCAATTTCCTTCTCTACGGAATGTCAAGCCAACAGGAACATACCACAGGTGAGGGATTTTCTTGGCAATGCAACTAACTACGAAGGCATTTCAGAGGGTTTGATCGTTCAGGTTTTGTGACCACATGGAAATTGGGTTCAGGGTTCACAAGTCCATATTGGAGCTTCTTACGAATTCTAGAGCCCACGGATGTCTACAATGAATAATCGTTGTAAAATTCTCATTCAACCAACAGTTATTCAGCTGACACATATCTGCGCATGATACACAGTCGGGCTGTCCCGTGTTGTCCAGTTCTAGTGCACTTTAGTGCTTCTTTCAATTAGGCCCTTCTGTGCTCTTAACTGTAATCGTTCTTGGTGCGGAAATTCGGCACTGGTGGCCATGAAAACGTCATGGTTCATGATATATCCCTCAAGCGTCTTGGGCTGGGATTTCCTCGCACAGGTAAGACATATCATCGGGCGGCCACAATTTTTATTCAAGGTACGAATTGGCCATGATGATAAACGGTTCAAAAAGGCAGCAACCAAGATGCGCATTGACCCCGACACCAGGGCTCAGCAATGATTGCACCAGGAGGCTGGCACATCATGAGAAAATGGGCGCCTTAGGCGTCCTTTAGCAGAGTGCTGAGCAAGGCTTATGATATAGCATCTTCCCGTATTGAAAACTCTTCACGGTTAGAATTGGTGTGATTGAAGGGGCATCTTCTGGTTGGTAGAATTAAGGAATGCGGTGTAACAATTATCCGACCGTTCAAACATATGCATGGCCATGGAGTTGCACATTAGGACTGGTGAGCGCAAGCTGTGCGTAACCTGAACACAAAGAGAGTCAAATGATTATCAGACGACAGTTAAAGTCTCGGTATTTACCGGTTATGTGCTGAGGACGAGGCACAGAACAAATTTAAAAAATGCGGAATTTTTTAGATAATTACCAAGGTCTGGACCATAGCGGTTGGTGGCAAGGGCTTGCAATAAAAAAGCTGTGGAAAGGAAAAAAGGCTAGCGATTGGAAGCGACAAAAATTTCACACCAGCACAAATGTTCCAAGGCTGTATGCAGCTATTAGTGAAATGTTCGGGAGCTAAAAGTACAGGACCCAAGCACAGCAAAGCCCAGTTAATCCTAGCCCCCAGTTTAAATTTGCTGGCGCACAATGACGCACACGGGTCATCAGTGGCTGAGCAACACCCATGGAAAACATTCCATTAGTGTTTCCAAGGCTGGAACCCGAGGTTCCAACTTGAGCATTATTCCCGTAGCCCCTCTATGGTAGATGATGCTCATCCACATTAACCAATCAACGATAATCCTTGACTAGCTTCTAGTGTTGCTCGACTTGGCTAACCGTAAACGCTGTCATCGGTCGGCTGCGTGACTGCTCTAAAACGCCACCAATATGATAACTTTTTCACCTGACCCGAGAAAGCTTCCGTGTCAGAGTTCAGGCGTTGTCAACCGTCTCAAGAACAGTTGGCTAATCATTTCTAAGCAAACCTGGAAGACGAGTCGGCGTCTTGCTAGCTGATGTTTTGATCTAAAATGTCAAGTAACTCAACTGACGAAGGATGGCCGCAATATTTAGCTTGCCCAGGGAAGAAAATGCGCATTCTAAGTGCATTCGGTATCGCTCGGGTGTAGAAATCACGAGTAACCTAACGGCTGCAATTTAGACCTACAGAAAGCACTATACAGCCCTCGTTCTCTTCTGGCTGCTTTATCAACTCCAGATGGATGGGATGTTGAAATTTTTTACAGCAAATCTCTTCATTGCTTTGAGGCAAGACGAAGTAATTAGAAAATTCCTGGGATAAACAGCACTGTACCTGGCCAAGCAACACTTCTTTCGGTGTCGCCAGCTGCTTCGAAAAGAAATGCATCTTTTTGATGGATGTTTGTCATCCCAATCTGGATAACTGGTGGGATCCACAGGCTTATTAGCGTCACCTGTATACCATGCCAGGCTGGAAGGCAAATAATAAAACAGATCACTCCAAATCACACCATCACCAGCAGCTAGATGTCCTTGGCGCTGCACGGATTACTCACCATGCATTACTGTGTAGCGAAACTCCTCGTGTTGAAAGGCCGTTCGATGCAAACCGGCGACAAAAGACTGTGAATGACTAACTTCAACCTGTTTCACACCTCCAGAAGCTTGGGGCCTTGAACATTTGAGTTGAGATTACATGTTAGTCAGGGTTTTCAAAAACAAGGACGCTTCGGTTCAAAGCTAGGTGGTCTTGCTTTTTGCATCGGCTTCCACTGGAGTCCCTTGATGGCCCAACCGGGGAGAACCCCTTGATGGTCTGTATAAACGATCTCTCCAATGGGATCCAGAGTCCAGATCCCGATTTTCGGAGAACCAAAATTCATGGGCCCTGTCCCATCGGGCCTCGATGGGGAAAGGGTCATCAAAGGAGTGGTCGTGGGGTGACGTCGACCTTCGAACAGCAAGAGTGCTTCTAAATGATATTTGGGGAAAGGTGGCGAACGCTTTCGCTGTGTGGTTGAGAAATTGATGAAGAATTTTTCGAAGACGAATAGCAGAAGAAATTAGGTGACGGTAATCCATCAGGCCTATCTTCATCCCCCCATTACAAAAGCGGGCACAAGTTTTTCAGCATCATCTGAGTGAATTGGCGCACTAATCCTCGTAATGCTCGTAACGTATTCCAGACACGTCTCGGATAACCTAATCAAGTTGGCCACTCAGGAAATAATATGGATAAAGCTCCCTGAGCAAGTCGGACACTCAAAGTAGTCACAAGCAGGGTTGCCAGCCGCAGAACGGACCTCCCACCGCCATCCACTTTCGGCGATGCTATGTGGGACATTGCCTAGTGTACTCAACGTCCAACGTCAGAGAAATAGTGCGGCTCTATATTTTTTTCACGTGTACCTTTCAGGTGAACCATAGCCGCCGAGTGAAATGTACGAAAGCTGTGTAAACGAATCGATTCTGCGCCTCTCCTCTGCTTGAAAGGAAGCGATGGTTAAGCCGAACTACAAACTTAATGACTGGCTAGCACCTGGCAGCTACATGCCCATAAGCCTCACTAGCGTGCCATGCAAGATGATGGAAAGCATTTCGAAGCGAGCGATTCTATAACATCTTGCTTCCAACAACTTGATACCTCCAGTTCAACACGGAATTCCCCCAAACCGTTCATTCTTGCGCACATTTTCGTATTTACGCACAGCTTAACCCGAGCCAAGGATGAGTGTCCGATATCGATTGCCATATTTTTCGACTTTTCAAAAGTATTCGATCGAGTTCAACGCCTTTCACTGCCCCCAAAAACTCGAGTCTTAGAGGACTCGAGAGAAATCCTACTTTGAAGCAAGTGTTCCCGTCAGACAGATCAATTCAAGTGAAAGTAGGCTCGACCTACTTTTCTCCAGCACCGGTCTCCATTGAAATTCCTTAAGGCTCCGCTTTGGGACCATGGTATTTTTGATATACGATACGGCTCTCAAGATGTTCCTGTGAGTCCATGTCTACTTTTTGCGGACGACTTGAAATCCTGGAATTTCAATGCCAGTGCCCTCTTAACGGATGTAGACGGTGTCAAGCCGTGGTCGTTGGACCGGTACCTTCTTCTGAATGACGGGAAGTGCGTCCATATGTCACTTGGAGGAGACTCAGCGAATGCCACTGCCAGCATGGTGGGAAAGGACCGGAAGACATCATGATGATAGATGCCAAAATGGATTTGGTTATCTGACTCCTTTCAACCATGTCCTTCTCACTGCATCATGAGAAGTTGCCCAGAATATATTCGTCCTCCTACCGATGATGCCGCGCACCTTTTCCCGTATTGCTCGCATGGACTTCCAAATACTCTCTGTGACTATGTCAGACCGCTCCTGGAATATTCCAACCTAGTTTTCTACTCAGGACGCACGAAAGACGTAACCCTCATTGAGCGTGTTCAGCGAGGCACTGGGAAAATGGTTGCCAGCCTCGAATCCGTGGACTACGAAACGCGTCTAGTGGTGCTTGACCTCCTTCCCTTGAGTATTGTCGCCTCCGGGGGACTTAGCTCTTACTTATGCCCTGTTTGAACAAAGCTTGGCCAACAGAATTTTCACCGTTGAACCGGCAAACACACGGCGAAAACATGGTAAGAAGATTTTCAAGAGCGGAGCGCACGGCAAAATTTTTTTCATTTCGGGTATCAGTTGTGCGGATTAGCCTTCCTCCGACGGCTATCCGCGCTCCTTCTAGAACCCAGTTCAAAGCACTACTATACACTTATTTGTGCGATTCGTCGCACTGGCGAGCATACTGCCCCTCACTGAGAACTTAAAGAAGAGTGCTACACCCTGTTTCCACTTGTACCTTTCAGATAAACGAAAGCCACCGAAAGACAAGAACCAAACTGACCCGGAAACTTGGGCAAAAGCCTCCATCCGGTGTATCGATTTGTGAAGAAGTAATCGTGACATCCGGACTGAACAAAAGCGCTGAATAGGAAGATAGGCGCCACGCAGACTTTATGTATACAGAGCGCTTGAGACAGCTTGAGGGCGTGGTGGTACCTTCCGAATCAGCTCCAAGATTACATCCTGATGACGGGCGGAACGAGGAAAATGATAAACCGGGTGCACAGTCAGACGAGGCTAGTTATTCCATGCGTAAGATACATCAACTAAGCATATTGTTTTCGTCTAGCCGCGGCTTACGAATTTGCAGGTTTGGGAATCGGATTTGGCAGGTTTGTCAAATGAATTTCCATAACATGTCATGATAGTATGGTCGCGGAGGTCATACTGTCGCACCCTTTCATCGTGATCCGCAGCCAATGCCAGGTCTTCCTTAGTTAAGGTCGTTTATTCTTTACTATCTATAGGTGCGAAGCAACAGTATACGTCTGCACACACTACCTTTTTCACTGTTACCTGTGGTTTCTAGATGCATCCAAACTCAGGTGACTGTTTCAAATGGTTCTTATTTTTTTGCTTAGGGCTTTGCTTTTTTGTGGAAAGGCCTTGGCAGTGTGTTCATCGTTCGTGGGCTTTGTTTCTTGAGTGAAAACATTCTTAGCGAAATAACTTCACTTCCAAAGTGAGAATTCAACCATTTGCTCATGCCCTTCTATAGAGAAGTCTCACGGCTAAGTTCTCTCCGGCGTATCAGTGGCCACGTTCTCTTGAGGATGTAAGTGTGTATTTCTAACGGTGCTGATTAAAATATAGTTTGTCTTGGATCTTCGTCACTCCATTTTATGCAGCGAGTGTCGTTGAACTGGTGCAGGTCAGTTTTTGTTTTCTAATCAGTTGTTTGACGTCGATCACGCTTTGAAGTGCATGCCAAAACAAAGAGCTCCCTATGAACTCTCGCTTAACCAGAAGCGTTGGGACAGCTAGATCGAAGGAGGTCCACAAACCTTGGATCTTCCAAGTGTATGTATAAGGGTTATTTTGCTTACGGCATCAAATTCAAGGAAAGCATCTTTTGATGGTGGGTGGTACGCGCAGTGCTTCATAGGCATCCGGCGTAATATAGATGTGCGTTCTGTGCTGGAAGTTCCGCTTAATCTCTTTGAACATGCATCGTACGCGTCAGTTACTGAATTCCAAAGACCGAATTATGACCAGTGTATGGTTTATATGGTTGAATGGCCTCTTCGGGTCCCATCTTGAGTAAAATTACAGTAACTTGTGTTTAAGTAAGTGCAAGCATTTTAGTTAAATCCGAATGCCGAGTCACCCTTTTTAATGGAGCTGGTGAACTTCCTATAGCATAACCCCATGATGGGATTTCAAATAGAAACTGAAGATAAGTATTTCAGGACACCACTTGAATGGAAGATACCGTCCAAAGGGTGGAGGCTCAACTAAATCGTCTCCGGAACTATATCAACCAACGACCTACTGTACATTAGATTCCCAATATTTAGGTCAGCTTTCTGACAAAGGGCTCAGTAACATCACCGACAGTATAGCACCAGTTCTGAACACTTTTGCGTCGTTGGCGTACAACTGTGGTTCATTTAAAGACCTTATTTTGAATAAAAGTGGATCGGCAAGGGACTTAGTTCTAGCCTGTCATAACCATTCTGAGGTGGCTATACCTCCAGACACTTCTTTAGGCAGTCAAAATATAAACTGACAACAAGAGCTCCATTGACATCCATTAGCAACCAACCGATCGCAGTGGGGATCACGCAGTCCCCATTCTGGAAGGCGAGTCAACCGAAAGCGCCCAGACTTTTCGTAGTCTCTTTCGTGCCCCTTCTGCCAGGTCAAGAGTTAATCACCTATCTGCTTCCGCCATTCTGAATTGGGGACGTAAAGCAACGTTGATTTCGACAAACGACGGATAGGCAGGCGCAATATATAGAAAAACCTACGCAGCTTCTAGTTCTGGACACTTTTCAATAAAGCCCACTGTTGCACAACCGAACACTCGTTTTCTGATTGCCTCACCGACACCATCCCACGCGAGCTGTGGTCCTGAGACAAAGGCTGCCGAAGGCCTGAAGATGTCTCAGCTTCTCTGTCTGAACAGGTCAAGTCACAATCAGACAACAAAACAGTCCGTATTGTAGCCTGATATGCACGTCCCTTGAGATTCAGGGATATATCGCCTTACCGACATAGGCGAACGTGATCCGAGCCTTACAGATTCGTGCGTTGACCTTATCTCTCACACTACAGCCGGAATGAATATGACTTTCAAGACAGGTAAGACGCTGCCTCTCCCTGGACTGTAAGTGTCATGTTTAGTGACTGTATGCCCACAAGCAAATTGCATGCCAATGGACACCGCCTTCTCCTTTTCGAGGGCAAGAACGATGTCACCCGTATATTCCAAATCGACAAGGTTTTTGTCTGCTGCTATTTGAACACCAGAGTTTTGAAGACCTTCCACCCTTCGTCCCATCATCTCGTCCATCACGGAAATAAATCGGATAAGAGCCCTGACGAATACCACCTTGTGTACAGAGGCTCTTGGAAAGCTCTCTGTCCATTCCCAAACGCCCGGAAGTTTGAGAATACATATGACCCAGTATGTTCACAAACCTACGTCGTATTCCTTGACGGGCAAGCGTGTCAAGAACAACAGACCGGCCAACCGAGTCCAAAGCGCATGGGAAATCCAGGAATACTAAATTTGTGGATCGCTTTTACGTATGGCGTTGTTCTGGCAACTGATGGAGTGTGAAAATTTGGTCGGTGTGACCCCTACCAAGCCGGAATCCCCTTGCTGCTCTCGAGTCATTGTTTCACGAGCTACCGTAAGGCGACGAAGTAAAAGTGACGCCGACAGTCTTACGCTCGGGGTCAAGCTGATCTTCCTGTGGTTACCACACTTACTATGAGCCTGTGTTTTGAAAACGGCAACTATCACCGACCCTCCTTTGTCCGAGACAGTTTCCTTTTCCAAAATGCATGAAAACTGACCGGACATGTGTTGACCGAGGACTTCACTTTTTGAACAATGCGGATCAGGAGCCTGGTGGCACTTAAGTGAACATGTGCAGTCATAAACCTCCGAGGTTGTATGGGGTTCAGGTTCACCGTCCAGTATTCTGGGTCAGTTGTAGCCTCCAGTTTCGTGACAGCTGGTGGTCTCGATTTGTTCGAAGTGTTCAGCCCACCGGTCAAAGCGTTCTTTATTCAAGATGTTTGTTCCATTCTGATGCTTGATAGTTTCGCTCGCAGGTGATTTCCGGGTCGCCGACAGAGGCATTTTAAGCGAAGGGATTACCATAAGTTATGTGGCATCCGAGAGCAAACCTCCACAAGTACACGCACTAGCGGCGTCCACTTATGCACCAAGCGCCCCTGGCTCCGATTCAACTAAAGGCGTCTTCTATTGGCAAAGGGGCATTCTCGCAAAGAGACTGGAGCATACCATGGTGTGACGGTTTGTGTGCCTTCGCAAGCTTTTGAGCTAAACTGGATGGCGTCCATGTCCCACAGGTTCCATCATACCACGTTAGTTGGTGGTTAGAGATCTGGCCAACACAGTCTCCTGGCCATGCCAGTTTGGAGGGTGGAACATGTGTGGCGACTTGTTCTGTAAAATTAGGAATGCGCTTCTATTTTCCGCAAAACACCGCTACCTTGTGGTCAGGCTTATGAGCTAAAGGCTTTGGTTGAAGACCATAACCGTCCTCCTGTCTAGGTCTGAGCACCTGGCGGTATCTCAACCCTTATACAGTCAAAAATTACACACATATATCGATTCATTTCACACCGGCCGTCACGCGATACAATCAACCTGGTCGCCTTCCTTGCTGCATACAGTAGGCGGGTAAGCAGAAACGGGCTACTGTTGAGGGCGCCTTTCTCTTCCACATACTCTTCCCATCCATTTAACAACTGTCTTCTCTTAGGCCCAACAGTTAGCACTGATGGTCGGTTCGTCGTGTATCGGTTTTACGAGCAAGGTCTGCCCGTCATCCGGCGCCGACATTCTCAAACTTCTTGAAGTCAACCTTCATGACCCGACGACCGGTGTATCCGGCTCCCTTCAATGTTTGCAGTATGAAGCGAGCCGAACAACAAGCTGCTCTTCCTCTCACACTGGACTCGTTTGGCATTGATGTATGCTGCGTGTCAGGAATTCGAGGTACAAGCACAGTGGTTAGGCTAGCTACCCCACCACTCTCCAATCGCTTCCGGATGCGCACCTCTGGCGATACAGAGGCTGCTGTGGCAGGATGTCCAGGGCTTGGTGTAGTCCTATCCGACCTAAAACTTTCAACTTGTCGTGGTGGGCGGGCTTCTGTGCTGTAATAGTCCTACGGGCTATACTGGCTGAAACTCAGTTCCTAAAGGTTTAACCGTGCCAGGAAGGGCAACGGACGAAGAACAGCGACTCCTCTTACTGCGAGTAATCGTATTACGAGGTTGTCCGGGGATGTCGTATTGTCCTCTGCAATAGGACTCCCCCCCAGACGACTAGCACATCTATATTCATGGGAGTAGCGATGATGCCTTCCCTGAGGAAGGACGGGTTAGAAAATCTCGGCACCGAAAACCGCACACTCCGCACGCCCCCTCCGGCGCATTATTCAAAGCTCAGAAGGCACCTGTTGTGCGCAGCTGCATTAGAGGTGAGTCAGTAATGCCTTACTCCCAGCGTCTAGACCTGAGCCAGGTCTGCCTCCGCAGCCAAGTTGGTTAGACTGTTGAGTCATAGGCTCCGGGAAGTCTCCGCCCCCCGCCCAAAAAAACTATAAACTGCTGTCTCGCGGATCAGACTTTTGAGTCATAGGCTCAAGGTGGGGTACCTCAACCAAACACTTGTTTGGCCTGGTCAACCGGAAATTATCAGTTGCCCTTGCAACTTTTCGGTCACCGATTTTCTCCCACTCTTTCTCCCCCACCCATCGTACAATGCAGTGCAGCCAAACCATCTGCCCATCCCCTAGCCACTATTGCGTGTCAAAATATTCGATCGGAAAAATAAATTAAAATAATTACTTACCTCAAAAGACCTAATCTACGCTGCGTTCGTACTCTTTCAAAATGGGCAACAGGCATCCCTTGCTGAAACCGTGCTCTCCCTCTGTCGATGCATGCTGTGTCTCCGAAACACGCGTACAAAACCCCACTTCGGAGCGAGATGACTCAGTGGTTAGATCGCGAATTTACTGACCGAAGGGTCCGTGGTTCGAACCTGATCTCTGCCTCTCGACTTCCCCTGTCTAGGCTTGGGCACCCCGGCAGTATCCCAGCCCTCGTGCTTCCTTCTGGTGGCATGGCACCGATAGGAGCTACAACTGACCCCACTTCAGTCGTGCATTTCATGCTGCTTAGGACGAGCTCAGATGTTCCACATTTCACTCTTCGGGTATCCGGTGTTACTGACGCGGTTGCTCGTGGTTTGTACGATGTGAGGGTTGCAATGAGCCCCAAAGCTGAAAACGCTTTGCTGGACTGGATCCCAGTAAGTGATCGCCTTTGTGCTGTGTGGTTGTCTGGCCCAATTAATACAAACGTAGGTCGATGCGGCAAACGCTTCTTTGTTGTATCGGCATACACCCCAACAGACTGCAGTTTTGAGACCGAGTGGGAGAAGTTTTATCAAGATCTGTCAGGACTGCTTCAATCGACAAAAAGGACGGATGTAGCGATCCTGGCGGGTGTTATAAATTCCAAAGTTGGAGTCGAAGCTGAGCGTACGGATAACGGGGATCGGCTTCTTCAGTTGCCTGCAGATCATCGTCTGTTTCTAGATAGTACGAACTTCCAACAGATACGCTTACATTAAGTTACTTGGAGGCCACCTACCACATGACAATCGTGGCCTCAGTTGGACCATGTGGCCATCAGTTACCGATCGAAAGCTTCAGTTAAGGGTTGTCGTTCCTTCTGGGGTGCGCAACTTGACTGATCGTGCGGGCTCGATTAGCAATTCGACTTCCGCCTGCATTACGCGTGCCAAAGGAGGTCTTCAGACTCTTCATAAACTGAATAGTATAGAGCTAATATGGCTAGAAAGCTACGAGGAACGCATAGTCACGCGAATGACGAAGATTTCTCGGAAGTTGAATGGAGAGGAGTCAAGGAATCAATGTCCCCACCTTTCAGAACCGTTTGTCCAGGCCATATAACTCAACCAAATGAACACTGGATATCATCGAAATCAGCAGATTTTATTGCTACCAAAATACTAGCGACTAGCGCCAATAATGGCTCTCACAGATCCCTGAAACACCGGATAATCTGGAGCTTGAGGACTGACTGAGAACGCTGGTGGATTTCGAGGGCCGAGAGATGGAGGTGGTTTTCGCTGTAGGAAGCAGCCGCGTCCTGTTTCAGCTGATTCGACCAACCGGTCAAAGGAACCAGTTGTCAGTGAAACAGTATGCGAGAAAGATGGAACAGCAGTTCACTCCCTCAATCGTCGTCTTGAGCGTCACCCGATCTCCTTCAACAAAACCACTGGAAGAACCAAGTTTGCCCGAATGAAACAGTGGCACCAACCCGCCATCACTAACCGGAATCTAACATGAGAGGTCAATCCCGAAACGCGAAAAGGCCTCTGGTCCGAATGGCCTGCACTTCGCGCTCTTCAGAGAAGGTGCGAGGCCCTGGTGAACGGTGCCTTTTTAAAAAAGGCACAAGAACATAAGAAAACTATCAAGGTATCAGCCTGGTATCCGTCGCATCTATCGTGCTCTCCGGCATGAATTTGTTCAGGTTGATTAATTATCGGGAGAAACAGATTCGTGAGAATCAAGATGGGCTTCGCCCTGGTCGATGGTGCATCGATCATATTTTTAACTTGCGATGAATTTTTGAACAGCGTCACTCCTTCGGACGTCCAGTGGTATAAGACAAGGCTGTCCTTTCCCCTTTAGCTTTGTTATTGATATGCTGCTTGAGATTTCTCTGCCTAATTTTGAGACCCCTCAATGTTCCCTCACATACATTGAGCATGTAGACGATAATGCTCTTCTTCGTTACGATTTCAAATAACTGCACAGTTTGGCGTGCGCTCCACACTTGTGAAGTATAAACTACTGCTACAAGACTTGATGGGATCATACCCACACCAGGTGTGCCAATAGACGTGGTAGATAAATTCGTTTGCCTGGACAGTTGTATAAGTTCCGGTGAACTGGCTGAAGGTGAGATTATTTCTCGAAGCGAAAGGCCAGGGCAGGTTTTTCCAACCTCCGACATCTATGGCTCCGACGTGACGTCAGTTCGTCTGTCAAGGGTAGAATACACTGCAGTTGTGCGATCCATGCTGCCTTATGAATCAGAAGCGAGGCCTCTACACGCAGAAGACATACGAAAGGTGTCAGTTTTTTACCACCGGTGTCCCCGATTAATTCGGGTGGGAACGTCGGATTAGCACTTCTGAGGCATGCCAGATGGTCTTGGGAATTAGAAACTCAAACGATAGACGGATTACTCACGCTTCATAGATTACGCTGAGTAGTACATGTACTTCGCATGCCAGAAGACTGTTTGTCTCACAGAGCTCTTTTTGTCCATCCCTGTGCTGAGTGGAAGCGACCGAAAGGTGGACAGTGTATGACCTGGCAACGAAGTACGAAAACACCAACCCGTAAACTTAATCGGGTCGGCATCTGCCGCCTCCCATGATGGGGACGTCGAGACTCCATTTCCTTTATCCTGCAATCGTCGAGTACAAATTGGCGCTTAGAATCGGTTTTGGGTCGTGAATCGGGATAAAGAAGCTGTTCTGTGTTCATGTTCTTCCGTAACGTTGAATGCACGGCTTGATCTCTTCAGGTACGCGAGGTCCTGGACTCTGAGTCGCGATTGACTTGTCGTAGTGTTTCATGGTTTACACTCGTTTTTGTGAATTGCTCGGCAGCTGCAGTCGGCTTGTGCGTCTGACAAATTAGCATAAGTGCTGAATACCTATTGTTTTAGCCTGTTTTTAGGTCTCCTAGGACGTTATTGACGGCATTCCGTCCATCATTCGTTAACTTAGATCCAGTCCTAATTTTGGCCGCCCCCCGGAGTTCATAGTCGGACCATATGGTCTTCTGGTTTCGATCATCGTTTTACGTCTCCAATTAAACTGGTGATTGAACTCCTTGTGTCTCAACACTATGCTGTTTCACTGGATTTCTTTGCTTTTATTCCTGCTCTGTATACCTTCATAGTCTGAGAAAGCATCGGAACCAACCAGCCTAATTTCCTGTCTGCGCGACGGCTTCCTTCGGCTGTTCCACATGCCGTCTACCCCCCGGCTGGGCACTCACAGTAACATTTTCCGCGGTGGAAAACCGTTAAAAAGTTTTCCGATCACCACGACACGCCTCCTACCTGTTTGGCGTCTCATTCCACCGGTTGTTCTTCTAAATGTGGGTCATTATATTGTCCGTTCAGTGGCTTGTATAGTTGCTTCGGCCTATTGGGGAGAAGACGAGGATCGACTGGAGCGCGACGCTGAGGTGGATTTGACTTTTAAGGTATGTTGCGCCAATCTGACCTATGGCTTCTGCGGTCGTCTAGTTCCCGAGCACGGTTATGATATTCTCGTTGTCAAGCACTGTCAAACACTTTTGGTATACTCTCTGTTAAGGTGACCCAATTTGAGTTCTCTTATGTGATCAGTCAAATAAGTCAGATCTAGGAAGAAAACACTTGAGTGGAGTGGGTATAGAGAATAAACGGCACTAATGATTAGTCACATCTTCCGGGACGAAACATGGTTGTACAAGGAATGTGTAGCAACTAGATTACCAGAGAAGTGTAGGCTATCTGTTGGTTTCTGTTAGGATCCGGTTTCCTGCGAAACTATCAAGTGTCATTAAGTATTATTAGACTTGCGATAGCTCATGGATTAAGCTGCGGATTCCCGACCTGGTTGCCCTCACTTTTTTATTTATCTCTTACTCTCGGTAGTTTGGCTTTTGGCAACGTGGAAATTTCCTTCGTATTTCTTTTGAATCACAGGACAATTACATAGGGCGTAATATTAAGTAACAAAAGCTCAGCTGTAATACGCTTTCTGTGCCTAGCTGCCGTGCTATCATAAGGAAGCACGAGCGCTGAGATACTGTCAGGTCGCCGAAGCCTAGACAGGGCTAGTCGATATGCTGGGGTTGGTTTGGAAATACAAACCTTCCGGTCCGCGTCCTAACCTCGAGTTCATGTAGATTTTCACCCGAACAGTTGATTTTTTGTCTATTGGAAATGTCTTCCCTGATTCTAGTTTTTTCAACAAAGTTATCAGCAGTTATCTGCAAGACAAATCTAAGGTGGAGCCGCGCAAAAAACATCGCATAACTGCTATAATTCTTGGGTGTGTAGCTAATCCGTAGCACGGAGGAATCGCGACTAATGATCTTTGGGTTTTTCATCGATGCTGGACGGTTAGATAGAGTGGCTCTAAAAACGAGGAAAATTGAACAAGAATCATTCGAACATTCTGCAGTAATTTCATGTTGAATTTAAAATCTAATCACAAAATACTTCGCCTTTACTATTATCGTTGAAACAGTACGTAGGCGATTTTCGTTGTTCATATTTTTCGATGTGACGATGTTTAGTTGGTGGTTAAGAAATTCTATTTTCTATAATTTTATACATTTCAGACTGGTGGGTGTTATCGCACAGCTTCTCCGTACTCCTCTGATTCTCGTTCAGAATACCACAGGTCTCGCGATCTCTCTCCGACCGACAGGTTAGCTCTGGCACATCAGCGGCAGGAAACGGCTTTGCAGTCAATGTACATGCGGTATTACACTGATTTGTTGTCCGCCATGACAGCGAATTTGGTTGCAGATGTGGTGACCTATCCACTGGAGACTTTGGTTATTCGTTTGTGTGTTCAGGGAACGCGGACACTGGTCGATAATATGGATACCGGTGATGTCGTCGTGCCGATTGTTTCCGCTTATGATGGACTCATAGACGCGTTGCGTTATGCTGTTGATTCTCCTTCCGGTATCCTCGGGTTGTACAGAGGATTTGGTGCCTTGATTGCCCAGTATGCATTACAAGCAGCATTCCTTTATGGGATCCGTTATTTGTATCAGCAAATACTTTACATGTGGCCACCGTCAGTGCACGTTGAAGGACGCCCCGAGATAAAGCAGCATGCTCTTAGGCATGTCTATGAAAGCCCAAGTGACCCATCCGGTGACACATATGACCTATAGTTTTGGTATTCTGTCTCACCGGGTAGAATTTTATTTTTCAGTTTTATTTCTCCTAGGCTATTCGGCCTCCATCCACAACTGTCCGGCATGTCTTGCCTCTATACGAATACACTTGAAGACAAACATGAGTTTAGTTGATTTTCTTTCTACGCTATTTGTGGCCAACTCATCTTGTACAGCTTACTTTGCTTCTCCGCCCCCCTCCCGTCAGACTAATTATGTGGTAGACAGTCCCCTCTAATAATTCTGTACTACCCACAGTTCCCCTGCCAGACTCTATTGATGCAACCACTAGGGAGCTTGTTGCCCAACAGATTATGTGGTACCAAAGGCTGTAATATTGTATTTTTATCCGCTGAGTTGAATTTTTAACACATGACTCCATCAACCGGGCTAATCCTTTCATCTTAAAATGCTCTCAATTGACCATTTTCAAAGTAAAATGGGATATCGTGCCGGGCACAAATCAGTTGGTGCTAGCTACCACTCAGTGGAGAAGTCAACGAGTGGCTGTAGTTAATAGTGCGGGTGCACAGATCCGAAGATTGACAAGGCTGGTTTCCTGGTTGTATTCGACCGAACAGCACCGTTTTCACTGTTCTTCCCCCAGTGCAAGGCAATGGCTCTAACCCTGGATACAGCTGCCGGCCGCCAAGTTTGTCATTTTAGTCGATGTGCAGGTTAGTTTTGGTGCAACTGTTCTCCCAATGAACAAGTCGGGAGTCTACCGCAGACTTCTTCTGGAAGGCAGCCTTATCCCAAGGCTAAATTGTGGTTACTGTTTTTACTTCCCCTGGGCGTGAAATTTCGCAGTTTCAAACTACTCCGAGTTCTAGGTCGATACTCAGTGGGATCTTAAAACTCAATGCGTGAAATATGCAAGCTACTGTACGTCAATCGAATGATTGTTATGTATGCCATTTCGCTTATTTCCGCTGTTCTTTTTCTCAAGAGCGCGTAATTGGAATCCATAAAGGTGTTCCAGAACCAGTGACAATCAGTGGTTGGTTCGTACTACCTGTAGCTGATGGCGGTTGTTTTTAGTTTTGATGTTGGCTGGCACGTCAGATACCATGTGGCTTAGCGGTTTCCGTTTTTTTCGACTGCACCGAAACAAACTGCGATCAGTATGTCACTATAACATTACCGGTTATCGGTGGATCTCGATTACATTTCGATATTATCGCCCGATTAAGCTTCAACAGCAGTAATTCTACCCTTTCGTGAGTCCATATTTCTGGGTCCCGCGTCATTAACTGAGTTTTCAACTTGCTGCACTCAGGCTCGCAAAACGTCTTAAAAATCATCCTTGAGTTTGTTAGAAGAACACTTGGGACGTAGGCTGACACAACTGCCAAACTGCGATCATAAGCGTTTTCATTAATGCCCTCGTGGATATTACCACAAGAACCGCATGCACGCGACCATTAACCGGTATCTAACTGGTCAGCAATCGTCACGCTCGGTAGTTAAAAAAACAATTTCGGCAGGACAAGGCGCAACGACCTCTGGTTCACCGGAGTTGCACAACCGGAACTGACAAGAAAGTAATGGGAGGGTCAGTTCGATAACCGTCCGTCGTTTCAGACGACAAACAGCCGGAGGAAGCTAGTCCCCCATACAAGCAAGAGCAAACGACCCCCATCTGTTTTCAGGGTGTGAACGTTAGACGCTAACAGATCAGCTGTGCCATGGTTTCTAAACTAATTTCGGAGTGCTTAAGGCATACGGTGGTCCAATCACTTGTAATCATTCGGATGGGCCTACACAGAGATCACTAGTAAACGGTTGAGGAGGGAGACAACGAGTACGTCAATAAAAAAGGCAGACATTAGTGAAACTCCATCTTAGCCCACTGGTCTTGTTGTGTGCAGTGACTAAGGTGATCCTGTATATGTCACCAGCTAACAGTCTCATCGCAGTGAGGTCCAGTCTTTTAGACGTGTTCTCTGGTCGTTTGTATCTGCTAGCGCATGAGGTATACGCAAATTTGTATTGATTCAATATGGCTGTATTTCTCATTCGGTCTGTCAATGTCTCAATGTGGAATCCAATGAAACACTAAAAAGTATATCGATTTCCTCGTGTACGATCGTGTTATTTCATTGCTTCGGCGGATTTGCCACACAATAACTATTGTCGGACTTATCGCTGCCATAGGAAGACGGGATTCCATCGGTATATATAGAATCAATAGGCTGATTCGCGTTGCTTTTTCATCCTGCTATGGACAATACACACGTACTTTTTGAATGAGGTTAGGAACGTTCGTCTTCCCGTGTGTTTATGCGCAATTTCACTCCACACGGTCCAGATTGTCATGAGTAGCGTATTGCCACACATTCATATCTACGTGGGCAGGTTGTGGTGTACGTACTACGCTTAAGCCTCTGACGGTTCGTCGCCAATAAGTGACAGCCCCGTTCGAGGTGTCATCTATATATCTGCCTGAATGCAACCGTACCGCTTATTGCGAATGAGTTGCGACTACTCGGCCTCTATAGGCGATGTGGCTCAAAGGTTGGAGCACGAGTTTACTGACCGGGAGGTCCGTGGTTCGAACCCGACCTCTGCCACTCAACTTCCCCTGTCTAGGCTTGGGCAACCTGGCAGTATCCCAACCCCCGTTCTTCCCTCGTGTGGCCTGGCAGTCGAGCTGAACGAACGAATCAGTTTTTGCTTCTGAAGTAATAATCCAGTTATGCGACTTGGGCTTCTCAGCACGCAAACAGACTGTTGCTATGTTACTCCACGGCCGGCTGTCATTAAATTTTAAAACCACAGACGAACCACTTAGCATCGAAGGTAGTTTACTGGATTAGTTGAGGCTACCGCGGTTTATCCTTCTGATAAGCGGTATGGTAGCCGTGTTCACAAACACGTCATCGTTAGTCACTGAGTTCTGATCGATTTATTATTCGCTAGACAGCGGCAATAAATGAGACCGCACCCACATTCCTGCACTTCGCCTGCCTTGTGTGCTGAGGTCCTTGTCGCAGGTAGCTTGCACAATTTGAGTTAATCTGTTGGATTTTAAACAGCACGCTGATCGACCGTGACAGAGTACCTTTAAATCGTTCAAATGACATTGGAATTCGTTCAGTCGGTGGAACTGTCATCCTACTAACTTTAACCTCGGTTCTGTCGGATGCCAAATTTGGCACGTATTACACTGGGACGAAATTGTGGAGCGCCCCACGCCGGGTTTCGGTACGGAATACATTGCCGTTCATAGCAATGGGCTTCAAAATTCTTCACTAGAAGATTTGATGGTAGGCCATAGTGAGTACCTGCAGTACAGCTTTAGCAACGAGTTGCCGTACGTCTATGAGTACCTCGATTAGGCCGCGACTGTCCACACCCAACGGAAAGCACTGAATCATGTTCACTAACGTCCATTCTGCGACAGCATAGAGGCATTCCAGTACAGCCATCTGAACAATCAAGTGGATCTCCGTCACATATGGCGGTATGACAGCTAAACACCAAAAGGGTGTTACAGACGAACAATTTTTATGGGCGATATTCCGAAAATCTGTTCCCTATCCACCTGATTATCTACTTGGATTTTGTCTCCAACCCACGGGTGCTCACCCCAGAATATCCGGATTTCATGCACTCCTTCATTCTGATCTGCAAGTCGGTTACTTTGTTGATTGGTGCAACTCCTTTCGTGAATGAAAGGAGTTGGTTACTTAACTAGTGGTCACGCGGCCACATTGTCTCCCGAAAGCTGGTACTCCTGATATCTGTCATAATCAACGATGTGATTCCTGACGTAAATTTCGGGTGGTAACGGCAAATAAGTGGAAAAGTGTGTTTACTGAAAGCTTGGAAGCGTTTTAACCTTGCACAGGAGTAATTTGGTAGATTTTAGATGGAGGATTGCAGACATTAGAAACGCGTTAATGCACGTCTGAGGAGAAAGGGGCAAGATAGTATCACAGTGATGCTCTTATTTGGTGAAGACAAAATGAAATCCCAAACACATTTGCATACTTATTTGATTTCCACGCGAAACGCACCTGAAATCCGACTGAATCACCCGTATGTGGTGTTTTTCAGCTGGAATTCAAATGAGTCGTGAAAACCAAATTGGTGTATTTGTCGAATTTCGTGCAATTTGGATTCAAGCAGAATATAGAGTTGACGAAAACTGAGGGGATGCGTCTGCCTGATAGGCGATACAGTTTGACAGCTGTCGAAGAATTTTCAGCAATCCGTTAGGTGATGTGTTACATCTGACCCTTTAAATTATCTATGTTATAGGGAACAAGGTGCCACAGCACAGCCCGGTTAAAAAACACTGTGTTGGATACATGACAGTTCCTTATGAAAACTGCAACTACAACTTGTTTATTTAGAAATATCTGGTGATGCTCGCAATACCTCGCTAGTGATCTGTTGAGTTGTTTCAGGTGCCTGATTATACAAGAATCTTGACCGTTATTTGGCGGTTCTTTGTCCATCGATGGCGATGGTGAAATTTCATTTGACCACCAGTCGCTGGAAGTCAGAGAAGGTTAACCAACACACCTGCTCATTCTTAGTCATTATTGCTCGTATTCCCAAGCAACTCAAGCTTCCGCACCGCAAGCGGAAGTTTCAGCGCACGGAATAGAGGCGCAGTTAGAAATGCACACAGAGACGCTGATAAAGAAAGAGGAGTGCTAAAATTGAATGTGTACGAATCAGTGGAACTATTGTCTCAGATTTTCCATGAAGTGTTCTGTTGAATTGTGCACTATAGGCGAACTAGCTCAGCTTCGTCAAATTCCGTTATGTTTTCGTTCCTTCCGAGAAGTAATTACAAAAGATACATTTGGGACAATATCGCACCGGTTGTTTAATATCACTCAGAGGGAAACCGATCGAGTGATCGTCCCTTTCAATAATTTCCAGTATCCCTCATTCATTGCATTGAAAGATGAACAAGCTGTGCGAACGCAATGGTGTGGTGGTACCACAGTAATGCTGGTTTGATGTTGACATCAGCAGCGAAATCACTGTGCGCGGAGGCCACATACTGCTTCAGACAAACCTTTCATTAGGGACGCTTTTCACGCGGTAAACCGTTGGCTGACCTGTGGCACGTAGCTGTTTTGTTACCTTTGTCGCAGGAGACAAGGAAACATGGTTAGCAAAGACCTCCTCCGCCTAAAACTTAGTACGGTGAACTACTTTCAACTGGATGTGACTGGCACCACAACCTTTAATCTAGTCGGCATCACCTGTTTGCCCTTCTGCAGGGGCCACTCTGCCAACGACCATAACCCAATGGATCTTTTTTTCTTGCTACTCACGAGTAGCTCAAATTACGGCGAATGATCGACTGGTCTTGTCGGCCGGCCGACTGTGCCAATTTCTCGGTTGAACTCGATCTACACAACATCGTGCATGGGTGTGATAGACAGCCGAATTTAAGACAAAAGTGGTCGACCCGAAGGTGCCACAACTTATTTAAAGTTAATCGGTCATTCCTCCGTGTCATTCGCTTGGAATCGATCAAGGAAATTCCTCATGAACTTAAAAGCCGCTTGTCGTTCTCCTTGTACTAAATTTGTGCATCAAGCTGATGTTAAAACGAGCTTCAGCTCAATCTGTCCTTAATGCTCTTGCCATGAAAGTTTGTCCCCCTCTTATGTATAAAACGCGAAGTGCCTTGGCCCGCTCAAATAACCTACCTGATGGTTTTTGCCAACCTTTGGAATGGGTTATCTAAGTCGGCCTGCATCGGCCTGTGTAATAGCCACAGAAGAAAAGCAAGTCTGATTGCAGCAGAAAGATGTTTTTATGGGGGGAAGTTTGTTTGAAATATGTTACCGACTGCTTAAGTCCTACTCAATGAACAAGCTATTAAACCACGTATGTACCATATTTTCTCTATCTTGTACGATGTCAAATTTGAGGCAGTCAACTATTAGGTCTTCCGTCCAATGCAGCCCACCTTCTACCAATTAGAATGAATCCATCCTCCGCTCTAACTGATAGCTTTTCTAAGCACCAATACAACAGAAAACTCTATCCATACTTTTATCTCAAAAGCGATTACTATCTCTCAGTTTGAGCTGGTCG